TGTATATGGCATTTGTCTCAGAATGTTAAAAGCCACGTCCATAACAACAAAGATGCTTGTGCATCCAAGTTTAGAGATTGTGCACACACTTATACAGAGGCGGAGTTCAAGTATCTTTATCATGCTTTTCGCAGGAAGTATGCTAAAGCAGCGAATATCTTGACAAAAGTGTTGAAGAGCATAAATGGGCCAGATGTTACTTTCGGGGAGTTAGGTACAATGTTGACACCACCAATTCAGCAGAATCTTTTAATGCTGTCATTAGGGATGCGAGAATGTATACTTTACTACCAATGTTTGATGCAATCATTGCAAAAATGGCTGAATGGTTTAACAAGTATAGGAAGAAGGCAGNGTTAGGTACAATGTTGACACCACCAATTCAGCAGAATCTTTTAATGCTGTCATTAGGGATGCGAGAATGTATACTTTACTACCAATGTTTGATGCAATCATTGCAAAAATGGCTGAATGGTTTAACAAGTATAGGAAGAAGGCAGCTGAAATACCATACACACTGAAGCTTGTACCTGTTGTGGAAGATGAAATGTCTAGAAGATGTGTTGAAGCGGGGTTTCTCACGGTGGAAGAGTTAAACAGTTTTCATCTTGAGTACAGTGTGCATGGTTCTAACGAAGGTTTATACCGTTGATATGGCTATGAAGACTTGCACCTGTGAGCAATTTGATAAAGACAAATACCCTTGCGTGCATGGAGTAGCTGCTGCCACATTCATGGCAAAGGCAGCGGGAAGAGAACGTCATCTATCTGAGTATTGTTCGAAATACTATTTAGTGGAATAATGGGCTTTGGCTTATCACAGGACAATTTATCTTGTTCCTCATATGTCTGATTGGGTTATACCAGAAGATATTAGAGCAAAGAAAATAATTCCCCCGGATTATGAAAAGAAGAAAGGAAAACCACAACAAACAAGATTTCCATCAGTAGGAGAATCCCGTGGAAGAGGAAAAAGGGGCAGAGGGGGAGCTAGAGGAGACAGAGGAAGAGGCAGAGCCAGAGGAGCAGGTCTTGCATCTTATTTTGAATGTGGAAGTGCTTCTGGTACTACCTAAGATTTACTGGTTTTATTATGTGTAATATGGACTACTGCTGATTACTCGTTTTACTACGTGTAATCTGGACTACTTGAGACTACTGGTTTTACTACGTGTAATCTGGACTACTGGGAATTTCTGGTTTTATTATGTGTTATTCATATGCAAAATATATCACTACGTAAATTGTTTATGATGTACGTTTAAACTATTTTTTGATGATTGTTTTCACTTCCTAGGCTATGTCTATGGTAACTATATACATCTAAACTATTTTTGATACATATTTTCAATTATTATAAAAAACCTTATCAGTTTCCTAAAAAACATCCTTAACTTTCTATATTAGTTTACTAAGTGTTCTAGTATAGTGAAGAGAATTTTTCAAAACATGTATTCCTTGAAATTTTTTAATGCAAATGTCTTCCTTAACAAGATTGACTAGGTAAATCATTAGTTTTACTACAAAACCTTCGATTTTGTGATGGTTTAACTAGATAAACGTAAATATTGCCAAAGTATTACTATGTGTATAGTAGTATTACTACAACCTTGGAGATTATTAGATGTATTATTAAGTGTTACGTATACTACTAAATTTATATTTGGCGGCTGCACGTTTTACATGAGAAATTTGACGGCTGCACGTTTTACATGTGAAATTCATTTAAAAAAAAATAAAAAATTCATTTCATCTATTTTTATTGCATTACAACAAACCCAGTAATTCCAGTTATCACAGTTATTCATTTTTGGGCAGAGTAACACCTGTAATTCAAGTTATCCCAGCTATTCTATTACCTGTCTTAAAGATCCAAAACAACATTTCAACACAGTTTTAACATCCAACAACAAAAAAACAAGCATTCTCCTACAAGTTTCAAACATCCAAAATACTTAAAAAAACATCTAAATACATAAGGTAGCTCCATACATAAACGTTTAAGCCTTTGTTTTAGGCTTCTTCCTCCCCTTCTTCCCCGCCGTGAAAGGAGTCTGCACCCATTGTGATGGTTCAGACTTCCTCTTCCCCGTTATCGGAGGTGCAGCATCAACAGCTCTCGTCCTTGGTCTGCCCCTCTTCTTAGGTCCAGCAGTCGGTTTTCCATATGTTTCTGTCTTCTCCTTGCATCTAAGCAAGATCTCAGGGAGCGTCACTGTTTCTCTCACCTCATCTGCCCCATCCATCCTATCCTCAACCACCACCATGACCCAACTTTGTTTTTCTTCCTCAATATACTCTTTAACTGCTGCCACTTCCTCAACCGGAGCCTCATTGACCACAGCCTCTTCTTATACCTCTTTCCCTCCAAATTCTTCTTCCTCCACAGGGTTTTTGTTCAGATCAACTGGTGGCGGTTTACGCTTTAACGGCTGCCACTTCTCTGGCATTAACCTCGCAGCCTGCGCCTTAGTCCTACCACGTTTTGGTGTTGTTGGAGTCTCACGTGGTGGTGGTGTTGGAGTCTCATGTGGTGGTGGTAGTGGTGGTGGTGGAGTCGCAGTCTCAACCGGAGCCTCATTGATCTAAGACAAAACACTTGCCACAATGTTATCTGCCTCATCTCCACTCATTTCCTTCTCCTTTTCCTTCTCCTCCTTTTTTTCTTTCTTAATACTCTCAGATTCGTCTTCTTCAGCCTCATATTCTTCCACCCTTTCTTCATCTCCACTCTTCTCCATCTCCTTCTCTTTCTCACTACTCTCAGATTCCTCAGCTTTCTCTTCGTCCTCAGCTTTCTCTTCTTCCTCAGCCAACTCCCTTCCAAAATTTTCTTCTTCCTCAACTTTCTCTTTTTCCTCAGCCAACTCCCTTTTTTCTTGCTCATCAACCTTTTTCCAAAATTTTGTAGCATGTTCTCTATTTCTCTCGTGAAGTTGCTCCAACTCTACGTCTGTCTCACTACCGCTTTCCTCAGCATCTTCTTTTTCTTTCTCACCTTCTTCATCACGTGTCCCACCCTCTTGCTCAGCATCATTTCTTTCCTTCCCATCCCGCTGTCCAAAATCTCTACCATCCCACTGCCAAAAATCCATGTCTTCACCAAGATTCGGTTTCTCACCAACCTTACTCTCGATAGATGTGAGCCTTTTATCTATTTTCTTACCCCTGGATCTCAACATCCGCTGCTCCTTTTCAATTACACCCAGCCTCAAATCAACAGCCTCCAGATTTGTCTCCAACGTTAGGTTAAGTCCAACAAATGCTTCTCCCATAAAATCCAAAAGCCTCTGTTCCAGACCTTGCAAGCTCGAATAAGAGGATGATGCTTCTGAAGACGCCACCTTTTCTTTCTCCTTCTTCTTAGTAAACACTCGTGCAGCTTGATCTCTTTCATACAACTCTTCCCACCAAATACTCTTCCGCTTCACAGTTAACCAGTGGTTCCAAGTCTCGCTTGGGCTCCCTGACGGTCATACTCTCGTTCCAAGTCAACGATACGAGCCAACAACATTTCCTCACCAATAGTTGGTTCCAACACACTGTGAATAATCTGGAAAAAAAATTAACACCAATTAAATTTTTTGTTTTAAGGCTGAAAAAATAAACAATCTACTATAACTGTAAATATGTACCTTTGTGTCTCCAAGCACTTGGTATATGTCTTCCAAGGGATAGCCCTTCAGACTAGTCTTAGTAAACCGGCTCTTGCACATCCTTGGACAGTCCGCACAAGGTTTCTTTTGATAGATTCTAAACTCTTTCCCCAGAGCAGGAATACACTCAAAAGCCAGAACCTATAGAACAAAAACATGTCAGATATTCATTTATAATAAAAAAACTTTTGTCACTTATTTAAGAAATAAAAATTATATTCTTACCTCTAAAGGGACTATGAAACCAGGAAAGGAGACTGCATCTTTATTCACTTCTCCCTTTAAATGGTTCATCACCCGCTTAATCTCCTTTATCGAATCCTCAAATGTGAGACGACCCCAGGGAAATGTTCTGCAAGCATCCAAATCATCCACCATCCTCAAGATGAAGGCGTCTAATTGTCCCTCATACCTTGGCTTTCCTCTGATAACAGTACCAAGGAAAAACAAGACCGCCATCTTCAATTTATCTGGACAATCCGGCATAGACAACAGCTTCTGCTTCACATCAGTGATGGTGATCTTCTCTATGTTATGGAAGTAGTAATTCACGAACTCAGTACCACCGATCTTCTTATATCTGCTCGGGTACTCAGTGCAGTCTAAACCAGAGATGAGGGCATGCTCCCTCATAGAATAGCGGATGGGTACTCCATTAACCGCAAACCATGCAACATCATCTTCTGGAGTACAAATGGCGTGCAGGAGTAACATCCACATCCCCTGGAGCTTAAGGTTTGGTTCTCTGGCATGTGAAAGAAGTGTCGAAACTGAGAATGGCTTGTGAACCATTCGGCTTGATCCTTCTTAAGCGTCTCCTTGATGACTTTTACTGTCGCGCTCACATAACACTTCATTTGTATCGTGCACATCTTCGTGAACTCACTGCTTTTGAAGCACAACTCAAGGGGCTGCGGTGGTTGCATTTCCTCCTGCAATGAAAATACACACAAGAAGTCTCAGTAATGCTAGTAAGTATAGTAAAACAAGAAATCTTAGTAATCCCAGTAAAACAAGAAGTATTGTAATCCTAGTAATACAAAAAGTCTATTAGTATGCGCAAGTATTAGTACTACTAGTTACAAGACAACATTTCTCACTAACACAAACAATGATACAAAATATATACCTCATTGTCGGACCCCTCCCTTTCGGATTCATCTGACATTGAGCGCGGTTGGTGACTCGCTTCTCTCACTGGCGTACTCTTATTACTCCTCTGTAAATACATATATACATGTTAGCAATCCTAGTAATGCTAGTAATACAAATATCCTAGCAGTACTACTAATTACAAATCACCATTTTTCACTAACACTAACAAGGATGCTACAAAATCTATACCTCACTTTCGGACTCATCTGTCACTGAGAGCGATACGTAACTCGGTTCTCTCTCTTGCGTACTCTTCTTAGTCTTCTTACTCTTCTTACTCCCTTCAGCAACTACTGGTGTTTTTGCAATAGGGGACGGTCTCGGCCTAAGAGATAGACGACGCCTTTCATTGGGGACTCCCTTCTTCTTTGCCACCTTTTGATTTCCCTTCATAACTTTCCTGTACAAGACATTACAATACTCAATCACTCTAAATCCAACCCGCAAACAACAACACAACATCAATTAACTCTCATCACCAACTCGCTATCACTCCCATTTAAACCAAACATATCCGATTCATATATATATATTCACCCTAATTTATAGTCACGGGTTTAACAAACATCTTACCAGTTAAACTTATTAAGTAAAAAAACATACCAAAATCGGACATTTTCATCTAAAATCAATCCCCAAATTAGTTTATATCATAACATATTCATAACATAAAATCACACAATTTCACAATGTATCCCCTGAATTCATATCACAAACTAGTCAAATACAAATAATTGACAAGTTTCTCCCAATTTCCCTAATTTTTTTGACCTAAAATACAAATCAAACCGAAATCAACCACAATAAATCACTTACAAAAACGCAGGAATTCAATTCTGAGATGGGCGAAACCGATTATCACAGAGAAAGAAGAAGAAACGAAGAAAATGGAGGAGGCGGGGATGTTAGGGTTTCTCGCCGTCGGAGCCGTTTCTATCGAAGGAGGAAAGGGGGAGATATTAAAGTGTTGAAGAAGGAGCACAAAACGACGACGTTTAAGGCTATCTGGGTCGGATATGTCCGGTTTACTTGGTCTGGGTCGGATCTTGGTGGTTGGATCCTGTAAATAACTCATGTCCTTATATTAAAATCGTAATTAGCCACTTTTCGATTTAAATTTAAATAAAAAACATATAATATTATAATAAAAGGTTAAAGGGGATTTTTTGAGAGGGGTATGGGGCATCCCGAGTTAATTCCCCGATGAATAGTAACCGATGAACAGCAACCGATGAACAGTACCACCGTGAACAGTGACGATGAACAGTAACCCCGAAATCAATAATCGCTTTCCGCAAATCGAATGAACAAGAAATCCAACCTTTGCTCTGATACCATAGAAGATCTGAAAATTCTCTCTATTATTTCTTGTTACTCTTTACAATGTGATCTCTCAATTACATATACAAACCCTAAAACTATTAATAAGTATTTACAATCTTAGTCCATAAATATTGCATAATTATAATATAGCCCAATAGTCATAAGCAAAAGAAAAGAGACAAAAGTAGAATAGCAGAGAATATGATGGATAACATAAAACTCAGTACCTTTTGTTTAACTTGTTCTATTCCTCCACGTCCAAAAGTGTGTCCGCAAGGCAATATCAAAGTATCAGACATCAAAGGCCGCTGCAAAGAGACAAAATAAAAGCTATAGATCAAACAAAAGCACCAACCCAACGCATAAAAGTAAAAAAAAAATTATTCAAAAATATATTTAAGTATTTATGTCAAAAAAAATTGTCAAATTCACCTGAGCTGGAACAACCACAGCCAACTTGAAAATAATTTCCTTTGGATCAAGAATTACAGAGAGCTTGTAGAAGGCTGAGCCAGAGAAGACAGTTGCGAAGAACACATTCCATATAGTGAACCAGATCACCTTGTTGCAAGCACTCTTTTGTATGTTGCTGTGGCAAATGTTCCCTTGGAAAGAAGAGAGAAACTCCATGATGTGTGGTACGACTTTCAGAGAGTTCTGAAGTATAAGACTTGGAAGGTACCCAGTTATAATCTGACTTACAATTTTCCTGAAACAGAAGATAATGAAAGTTCTGTGAAATGTTTGACTCCTGAGTTACAAAACTTAAAACTCATAAACCATGAACAAATGAAAAAAATACAATAACCAGATGGGTTGAGATTCCACATGGAAGTAGGAGTTCTAAGGTTAAAAATCCTCACTTGAACATGTTTCTCGAACAAACGATCGATGGATGAAACAATACCCATCAACCCAATATCAAAGATAGCAAGAACTTCTATAGGATAAAGAACCATCTTGTTATACAAATCAGGATCATAATCAAACATATCATACGTATCAACATCAATCCATTATCCTTCGATCTCAATCACCTTACATATCGAAGCCATGTACATGCCTTCTCCAAACAAATCGTCACTACTGGTCTCTTTATTTTCTCTGAAATGCTTGACGAACATCTCAATCGCTGATTTCACATCTTGCACACTGATGTTTGTTTCCCAGACGAAAGTCGGGGTGGTATCATCGTTGGCGCTGCCGTCTTCTTCGCCGAATGAAGGAGTCGCTTCGTCTTCTTCACTGCCGCGTCCATTGAATCTAACGGCGGAAGGACGAGATGTGGGAGGAGTGGAGTTTGAGGCCCCAAGGCGTGAAGGCGGTGGAGGGGTTTGTGATCTTCCTCTGCAGCGGCGCTTGCGGATGGAGGCGGAGGAAGAGTAGGTGTTAGGAATGGGTGGCTGACTTCTCATCATCAGCTTTTTAGATTTATATAAGTGAAATTACAATCAACATATATGTACTGAGGGAAATTATGAATGGAGGCTTGATTGCTCAGAGATGGAATCATGTCGACTGAGTGACAATCGGTTAGAGAAGATGTAAGATGAAGGAGAGGAGAGGCTACGGGATTCATCATTCATCGATTAGTGTTTTAGGGTTTGGGTTTAATGGGCCAACGGAACTAAATTTGAGAAGCCCAAATGTACCACCATTCCTTTGTGACGTGGCAAAATAAAATATTTTGATTGGTCAAATATTTTTTCTTATGTGGCATAGCCTAGAAGACTTTATTAAGAGCTTTTAATATTGTTAAATTTATATCAATTCTCTAACTGATACATTTATTTATTTTGGTTAGCATCATTTATTAAGTAATTCAAATCTTATATCAATAAAAAACTGATGCTAACAAAACTTTCCCAACTATATTTTCTTTTAACATCAGTTTAATAGAAGTGATATTATTTAACTTCATTTGCATCATTTCAAACATTTTTTCTAATATAAATCTTACTAAATACAGTCTAATCTTATTTATTTAAAACAGAGATACGTGATGTAGTTAAGATTTGCTTGTATATTTAATTTTTTTTCTTTTTTTGATAAGATATTTAATTTTTTTTCTTGTGCTTTTATAATAATTGAGTTTGTTGTTAGCAGTTTTTTTCTCCAAAAACATATTCTTTTATGCTAAGATCTAGTTCCTTATTTACAGGTTCGTCTCCTTCATTTGTGCTTCAACTTTTTCTTAACTGTTTATTTGTTCTGAATTATTGATCAAAAAAGATCTCAACAAACGATCAATCTTTTTTTTTCTTATGAGTCCCTGTTAGCAAGCCCCACTATATGATGATGATGTTGTTTCTTCTTATGCTAGTAGTCCCATGTATTTGATGTAATACTTCTGAAAAGGTATTATTTTCTTATTGTTCCTTTCAGCTTTTTCTTTCAAAGTTACAACTTGTTACAAGAGAGATGGTTATCAATCTTATATCTCTGGAAAAAGGTTAATATCGTTTGCTTATTTAATCTGCTATTTTTTATGAAACAGAAAAAGAAACCTAACTCTGGTCAAGTAAGCGTAAATGTATTCTACCAAAAGTTCTATGGAAATTATTATAGTTGTTTTGTAGCCATTTTGTTGTCAGTTCATATTCTTTTCTTTTCATGTTATCTTCTGAAATTTCTCTGTATGCTTTTTTTTTCTTCTTTTTCATATTTGTAAATGGAAAAATAATTATTAATGCAAAATATTTAATTTTATTTATATTTTGAAATCTTTTTATTCATTAACAGAAATCTTACGTCAACTGAAAACAAATATTTTAGATCGATAATATTAAATTATATAATTGTTAAAATCACTTTTAAAATTGCTATTAATTTAAATTATTAATAAATTATATAAATAATTTAAATCAGTTAGTTTAACTGATATAAACATTACATCATATTAGAAAAAAATGATATAAGTATTAATATCATTTTTATAACTGACACATATAAACGTCATTTATAATAACTGATGAAAATATTTGATATGTTTACATCATTTATTAACAAAATGATATAAATTATTTTCATCACCATTTTTAGAGTAATTTTAATAAGTGATGTAAATTTCTTTAACATCATTTATAACTGATGAAAATATTCAAAATAAATGCTATCTATTTTTTTTTGTAGTAAGAACTTTATTTTACAAAAAGAGACAAATATGCTGATTAAAAAAACATGACTCATCTAATTTTAATTTTAAATAGATTAAAATTAAGAATCTATAAAAACTTATGCCAATGTTACTAATAAAAATTAGAACGAATAACAAGTATAAACGAGTGAAGTAATTTTTTTTTTTTTTAAACTTGATGCTTGGCTTGTACTTGCAAATTTTTTATTTGACATACTTGTTACTTGGTTTAATTAGTGCAAGTACTTGATTTGACGGGTAAGTACGGGTCGAGTAACATGTACAAACCGAAAAACGAGTATTTGTGTCCAGACCTACTTTTATGTGAGATTTTTTCAATCAAGTGATAAGTGATAACCCAAAGTTTATAAGGTTGGATCATGAAAATAGATAAAATAACCAAAACACATTATCGTTTTCTTCAGTTTTGGTAAAACCACATGTATTAGACGAGAGAGATAATATTTGTTGTTGTTGTTTTTTCAGTTTGTATATTTTTGTTTAGTTACAAACTATATGGTAATGAAAACTAATTTAATTTTATAATGTAATATTAATCTCGCTTCATGACGCAGATATTAACCTAGTTTACATATTATAAAATAAAAATGATAAATATAAAATGGTGGAAGAAATAACTAAGAAAGTAAATCCGTCTAATATATATATTAGAAAAAAACTAGGCCTAAAGAAGATTTTTAGTTATATGTATGTCTTTGTGTAAGTTTGGACTTCAAGGGTGTGTCTTGGAGTTTTTGATGTAAGGACATCTCCCACCACATTCTATTTCTTACTCTAAAATAAAGTTTAGAGTAAAAGTGTTCTAGAGGTACTCTATAATAGAGTAAAAATGAGTTTACTCTATATATATATTTAGTTATTTGTTTTTGATTCATCATTTTATTTTTACTCTAAAACAGAGTACTATTGGAATAGATTAACTTATTATACATGACCGTAACCAAACATATTTACCAAACAGCCATTTGAAGAAGTGGTTATTCTATTCTATTATAACAGACGTATAAAATAATAATTTCCTAAATTTAATTGTCTTTTACAATTTTTCTTTTCTAAGCATTCTAAACATTTCATTTATTGTATTTTATAAATAATTCGACAACATTTATTACAGAATTACAAAACGGAAATTACATATTTAAATTGTTTAATTACATTTTATTACATTCTTTTTTCCTCTTGCTAACTACTTCATTATTTATCTTTACTACAGTAATTCGATAGCATTTATTTGACATATTAACTATAGTAACTCGGCATATTTAAAGGAAATTACTATATTCATGAAATGTTCAAAATTATTAACAAAGAGTTTTTTTTATTTGTTTACAAAAATCAGTTAGGCATTGACATTATGATACTGTTCAGATACGTGTTGTTACTTTCAAGTATCATTTTTGAGTTTTGAAATTAAGCCTCGCACGGATATTATAAAATTTTTGGATAGGTTTGAGTCCTTCTGGATTCGCATGGATTCAATTTTGATGTATAAGAATCCAAAAATATCTAAATAACTAGTATAGTTGAAACAGATTCAGATATTTGAAGGAAAAGTAACCATATTATCCAATTTGGTTCGGGTTATTTGAATATATTTAGTTATTTAGTAACACATTTAAAATACATAAAACTAATCATGAAGAATAAATATGATATCAATTTATAAAAACTTAAAAATAAATCTCTGCGCGGCGCGCATATCAAGCTTTAGTAGTTAACTTATTATACATGAAAATGACGTTGCGTTCTTCATATTATGAATATAAGTAACTTTATTTCTCTTTTTTTATAGTCTGCTTAATTAACTAGGTTTAATATGAGGCTTGAAGCGACAAAGGCTTATCATTAACCTAAGTAAACTGTGTTCAACCACAAAACCTGCATTTTATAAATGCTCTCCGAGTGTTAGGCGTTGTGGGAAGGGCCGGCTCAAGGGTAAGGGCGAGCAGTGCATCCGTCCCAGGGCCCCACTGACAAAGGGGTCCATAATATGTATATGATGTCACTATATCCTGGGTATATACGTTCATGTATTCAGACCTAAGCAGTCTCAGTTGTGTTCTGTCAAATTTTGCAGTGGCAATATTATTTTTCGAAGGAGGAAGACAAGAAAATTAGGTTAAAAATTTTCGGGCTTTACGATACTAAAATGCATCACCTTCAAAGAATTTAGAGAGCAATGAGAGAGTTTTAGAGAGAATTAAGATTTTTATTTAGAAATTTGTGCAGCCATTTTAGTGAGAGATGGTCTAAATTTCATTTATACAGGGAGACAAAAATTGTAACTATGTTAAAAATTTTGACAGCATAGACTTCTTTTGAAGTCTACTATAATTAAAATTTTGGAGTAGACTTTATTGTAAGTCTACTTAGTAAATTTTTTTTTAATCTACTATGATTATTTCATTATTGTTGTTTATTTTTATTATTTTGATAATTTTATTATATAATTTATTTAATTAATTAATTTATTTTTAATATTTATATTATATAATTTCTCATTTTAATTCATAAAGAACTCAATTTAATTTTCAAATGATAATTTTTAAATTAAAGTAGTCTTAAAAAGACTTCTACACTGAAGTAGTCTTTATTGTAAGTCTACAACCCCTAAATCACAAAACTCAAACCCTATAAGTTTGATTGATAACCAAAAAAAGTCTCAGTTATTGTATCAGAAATATGATTTAGACATTTTTATTCATAAATATGTAATTTTAATTTAAAAACAAAGATTCTTCTGTAAGCACAAATAAAAAGAGATTGAAAAAGATGTCTACAGGCTGATAGACTTCAATGTAGGTGTAGGTCTACGAAGCCCTAAACCACAAACCCAAACCCTAAATATTTTGCTTGATAATCAAAAAAATTTCAATTACTTTATCAAATATCAAAGGTATACAAAATACAAACTACTAAATATTAATATGCAATTTTGAAACAATAAACAAAAAATATCAAAATCCAAAATCTAACCCTAAGAAAATCTATCACTAAAAGACATAACATTTTAGAACCATTTGTTGTTAAACCATGAACATTTTCTAACACATAATTAATAAATCAATATGTATTCTTTTAAATTACTCATTTATATAACATTTTAATTTATTTACTTCATATTAACACTTATATTGATGATTAATTAAATATTTCATAATAACTATATATATATATATATTTCTAAAATTAAATTATTAGATCAAATTACGATGTAGATTACAAAATAAGTCTACATCGTAGATTTCTTAGAAGGTCTACATTTACGGAAACTTATTTCTATTACGTGTAGACTTACAAAAGACAGAAGTGTAAAATACATTTTTGTTTTTTTTGTTTGTTCATAAGGATTAAATATTAATTTTAACACTCATTTAGGTTGATTTTGCATT